ACACACTCACTCTCTCACTCACTCACTCACTCTCACACACACGCACGCTCTCTCTCTCTCTCACTCACACACACACTCACTCTCACTCACTCACTCCCTCACTCCCTCACTCACTCACTCACTCACTCACACACACACACACACACTCACTCACTCACTCTCACACTCACTCACTCACACACAAACCCTCTCTCACACACAAGTTCTCTTTCTTACTCACTCACTCTCACTCACTCACACACACACACACACACTCACTCACTCACTCTCACTCACACACACACTCACTCACTCACTCACTCACTCTCACACAAACTCTCTCTCACACACAAGTTCTCTTTCTTACTCACTCACTCTCTCTCACTCACACACACACACACACACTCACTCACTCACTCTCACTCACACACACACTCACTCACTCACTCACTCACTCTCACACAAACTCTCTCTCACACACAAGTTCTCTTTCTTACTCACTCACTCTCTCACTCACACACACACACACTAGCGTCTGTTTGTGCTGTTTCTAGTGCTCTGTTCAGTTTTCTAGTGTTTGTGTGGAATCTCATGCTGTGTTTTCACTGTGTTCAGAAGCTCCAGTGCACAGAAAGAAGCACGAGACTGACACGTATGTGCTGGTAAGACTCTCATAAACACTCTCACAGAGAAAATATCACGTGAAGCTCATCATACACACGGCCAAAGGGGAAGACTTAAAAATAAAAATATAGCTCAAAACATTTTCTGGTTTTGAAAAACTTATACCATTTTAATAAAGTTTCAAAAGTCAGCATCATTCCTCCAGTCTTCAGTGTCACATGATCTTCAGAAATCAGTGTAATATGCTGATCTGCTGCTCGAGAAACATTTCTGATTATTATCAATGTTGAAAACAGTTGTGCTGCACAATATTTCTGTGGAAACTGATACATTTTATTTTTTTATTTTTCAGGATACACAGATGAATAGAAAGTTCAAAAGAACAGTTTTTTTCCTAAAATGATAAATGTCTTTACTCTCACTTTTGATCAATTTAAATGCGTCCATATTAATATAGGTATTAATTAATGATATTTCTAAATCTTGCTGACCCTAATCTTTTGATCACTAGTTTATGCCTTGTAGGACTGTTTTTCTTGCTCGAGTGTGTTGTTCACAAAGCATGGTGGCAGAGTGTGTTGGTTGCTGTGAACGCTGACTCTCAGGATTGTGGGTAATGTTGTTTTCTGTGTGCTGGTCTGCTGTCTGTCCATCACTGCAGGGTACGATACACCCCTTCCGCAGAACTCACCGCTCTGTCCTGGGCAGGTTTGTGCAGGAGTTGAGTTTGGTGACGTCTGACAGACGGGTGAGTCTTCACTCCACTCAGGAAAACAACACCGCAGTGATTTAAAAAGAAAGGAGAAAAATAACACGTTTAATATCAAAGACATAAACTCCCTGCTTTTGCATTCTTGCATACTGTTGATGCAAGTTTTGACAAACATTTTTTGATTGTGATATATAGGGTAGGGAATCCAAAATCAATTCCTTTTTCAGAATCGGACACTTAAAGTCAGGAATCAGATACTTGTTGTGAAATTAAAATGTCAATTCCACCTCTCAATTCCTGTGTGTGCATCTTTTATTTTTAGGTGGTGGAAAGGAGCTGTTAAAAATGTATTTGTCATTGAATCATTCATTCAAGAGATTCATTCAAAAACACAGATTCATCCAGTAATGAAACGAGTAAATCTTGAGTGAGTCATTGAATCATTCATTCAAGAGATTTATTCAAAAACACTGATTCATCCAGTAATGAAACGAGTAAATTTTGAGTGAGTCATTGAATCATTCATTCAAGAGATTCATTCAAAAACACTGATTCATCCAGTAATGAAACGAGTAAATCTTGAGTGAGTCATTCATTAATTCAAGAGAGAGATTCATAAACACCGATTCATCCAGTGAAACGAGTAAATCTTGAGTGAGTCATTGAATCATTCATTCAAGAGATTCATTCAAAAACACTGATTCATCCAGTAATGAAACGAGTAAATCTTGAGTGAGTCATTGAATCATTCCATGCAGAAACTCCATGAGATTGTTTACTTCTCTAAAGTTTTTTTTCATTAGAATTGTGAGAGAAATATAACCTCCGTTTAAAGTCTCAGTTTATCCAGAATCACGCAGCTCTTTTTTGCACACAAACAGCTCTTAATCGAGTCCAGTTTTTATGCAGCCGGCTGATTTCTGTTCACTGTATTCAGCTGCAACTAAATGTTTTGCAAAACGAGACACAGAATAAATATGTTTGATATCGGAATATTTGATTTCATTTTTTAACCACATTGGTTTCAAAACTGGGAATCGATAAGAATCGTAATTGGAATTGATCAAATTCCACCGATACCCAACCCTAATGATACGAGGAGTTTGCAGAAACCCAGCCGAGGTGCAGTAGTGTTTTCTGACAGCAGGGGTCAGTGTTTCACTGGTTTACTCACACACACACACACGTCCATCAACAATGGTGGGAGGGGCCTGGGTCTGTGTGACATCACATTGCCAAGAAGCTGGGAACAGCTTGATTTGAGAAAGGGGATATTATTTATAGGGATTAAAAAAATAAAAGCACTGGGTGGATTTTATCATTATAGGGTGGATGTGGACACACTGCCAACACACATTTATGTTCAAACAACATGTAAAAGGGAATTTTGCATCCGATGACCCCTTTAATACATTTATTTTTTATGGCTAAATTTGCTGAAATGTGCTAATATCTCTAGAGAGAGAGAGTGTGTGTGAGTGCGAGTGTGTGTGAGTGTATGAGTGAGTGTCTGTGTGTGTGTGTATGTGTGTGAGTGTGTGTGTGTGAGAGAGAGAGAGAGAGAGAGAGAGAGAGTGTGTGAGTATGAGTGAGTGTCTGTGTGTGTGTCTGTCTGTGAGTGTGTTTGTGTGAGTGCGTGTGTGTGTGTGTGTGTGAGAGAGAGAGAGAGAGAGAGAGAGAGAGAGAGAGAGTGTGTGTGTGTGAGTGTATGAGTGAGTCTCTGTGAGTGTGTGTGAGAGAGAGAGAGAGAGAGAGTGTGTGTGTGTGTGTGTGAAGTATCACTGCGCACCACTGTGTCTTGAGCAGGGGGAACGTGATACTCATGTATTGAGCTCTCCAGTAAAAACGATCTTAACGTCAATGGCCACTGCATGTAAGAAGCACCTTCAGAGCTCCTCTGTCCCACAGACGGCAGACGCAGCACCCGCAGCCATGACTTAAAGATCAGACTCTGTCTTAAGGTTCGGTGAAAAAGGAACCAAATAAGATGGGTAATGTAGAGAATCGTGAGCTTGGCCGTGTGCGTTCATGAGAGTTCACAAGAGCGGCAGTTCTCATGCTTAAATCTTGAGTTTGATGCAGCCCAAATTGAGCAAGATTGTTCGAACCACTCTTCATAATAAAACCAGTTATATGCAATAAGAAAACAAATCAGGTCAAGTTTGAACTCATGCTGAATAAACCCTAGAATTCATCCGATAACTTTGATTGTCCAGTGGGACAGCAAACCGTTAGAATGCGCAGCGCAAGCTAACTGCATGTAAACCGATAGCTGTACGACTGCAAATAATGCACTGTGCTCACAGTGATTCATCGTGGTTTAAAAGAGTGGTTCACCCAAAACTGAAGATTAGCTGATATGTAGGCCATCCAAGATCAGGATGAGTTTGTTTCTTCATCAGGTTTGTAGAAATGTGTCACTGCATCAGTGTCTCAGCAATGGATGCTCTGCAGTGAATGGGTGCCGTCAGAATGAGAGTCCAAGCAGCTGATAAAAACATCACAATAATCCACAGCACTCCAGTCCATCAGTTAACATCTGGAGAAGACAAAAGCTGAAACACATCCAGCATTAAGACGTTTTTAACTTAAATACGAGTCCACAATAACGCTTCCTCCAGTGAAAAAGTGCATCTCCTGTTGTCTCTCACATCAAAATCCAGCCACATATTTGTTTAGAGCTGTTTTGGCTTAATCTGCGCTTATTTCTCTCCTGATTCAGACTTTTCAGTGGAGACAGCATTATTATGGATAGAACTTGTATGCAATGCATCTGTTCTGCGCATATATTAGATCTTTTACAATCAGTTCAACTGTAATGTGATATATTGGTTTTGTGAACAAGTGATTGTGGGCATGTACAGTATGATAGCTGGATATTCATTTTGATGTTTGGATTTCTTAAAATAGTTTTCAAACGCATCACTTAATCTAAATGTAAAAATGTGACCATGCACATTTAAACATCTAAAATTAAACCAATGATCTCTGGTGCCTGTTAACAACTAATAGGGCTGCCCCCTAATAGTGGACTAACCGTTAGTCGACCAGAAGAGGCTTGGTTGACCAATATTTTTTGTCACTGGAGAAAAATAAATGTAAAAAAAAGTCATGCAGATTGTTAAGGTGGCGGTGCCGGTCACTTGTGCTTAAAATACTCCCTCATTTGTGGTCATACAGATAAGAGTAATACGTCTTTCAAATCTGTAAAGACTCTGTGTTTATTTGTGTGCACTCACAATAACAACAAAACACTTCGCTTTTGTAAAATAATGAAATCAATCAGAATGTGCGTTCTGCCGTCTCGGTCTCTGTGAACCTGAGCGTGAAACTCTTCTATTGCCTTACAGACAAGAAAAATATATAGGCCTATATCTATAAAGAGCAAAATGTCTACTTCCAAATGAACCAATTCAAATGGAAGACAGATATTCTCTGATTATGTAATCCGTATGAAACATGCATACAGCTGCATCACTACTGCAGAGATAACAAGTCAGTGTCGCCGATCTCTTAAACCGAAAACAAAGAAAGCACTAGTTTATCAATGAATGATTAAAATGTTAAAGCAGCCTCCTTACTGTTTTTCCCGACACATTCATAATCATTACTTCTGCCGGTGTGCTGTAGCAAGCTTAATGCGTTTGCTTAAACGCTTATTAGGCTATGTATGCAATTAAAGGCGCATTATTATGATTTCAATTGTTAAACGTGCGATTAGTCGCATAATGCTTCAGAAGAACGACTGCTAGTCGACCAGACACATTTTTAGTTGAGCGCAGCCCTAACAACTAATATGATATCAAACACTTTTTTTATTTTACTGAGAAGCAAGTCCCTTAGATCTTCTTGCGTGTGTCTGTAGATGTTTGGGAGGGTTGAAAGCGTTTACTGTGTGATCTGAAGCAGCTCGCAGTGTGTCATCGTTTCTGTTCCCTGAGAAGCGATCGTCAGATTGAGCTGCAGTAAAATCCCTCCACGCCTCGCTGTGATGCGAGTCTGCTGTGGTTTGTGTTGTAGGTTTCTGTTGTGTAATCGTAAGGTTTTGATGTGATAGCGGGGCAGGATGTTTTTATCGTGCTGCTCGGCCGATATTTCTTGCAGGAGCAGCAGTCTCGGTTTACTTCCTCCCACCGCTTTCCGTTTTCCCGCCAGGTGTTAGTTTGTAGTTTGTCAATAAAGCTTTTAGTTTACATCTGGAGCTATCTATTGTTATTTTAATGTGCCGCGTTGACAGACACCCGAGCCGAGCCGCTCGATGCGTGTTCCAGAACTCGATGACAGCTGAGAGCTGCAGTTTGCAAATCTTTTTTACCGAAAGTACCAGCTAGCAGAGAAAGCTGATACTCGCCCTGGGCCGCTGCGACTGCGCCTCGCTCGCAGGCTCCTGAGCGCTTCGCTTGTGTTTCGGATAACCGCTCGGCGCTGAGTGCTTTAATGGGGTCGAGCTCCCGCGAGGCCTGCAGTGAGACGGCTGAAGGTCAGGGTTCGAGGACGATCAGATGTGTTTTGATGCTCTGGCCTGTAGATGTTATTAAATATTCAGCTAAAGATCCTGGCTTGGTTTACCGCTGCGTCTTCATCTCCTCTTCTTCTTCATTGATTAGGTCTGTAAACATACACAAGTCACCTTAATCTGCACACTGTGTGCTACAAGATGTGTGTCTTCTGCGCCCCAGCTCTGGGATTTATTCATGCATCAGTCTTTAGAGCGCCTCGTTCAGGTTTGGCTTTTTGGACGGTGTGGATGGGCTCAAGTGCTGTGCTTTGTAAATGACTGAACTCTGGTGTATTAGTGTCTGGGAGAGTTTTCAAATATGTCGAGGACAGATTTAGAGCAGTAGTGTTGTACAAATATATATTAACAAATTTCACAGTAATGATCCATGTTAGGGATGGGCGATACCACTTATTTTGTTTTCGATACGATACCGATACAATACTTCTAAACTGAACTTTAAAATTATTAAATAGTAAAATGGGTAATGATACCCACTTAACTTTATATTTGAAACACATTTTAACATTCAGTACGCCTTAATTGCAACTTATCAGGTTATATTTTTGTTTACACATGGTTAAAATGTTTACTGTAGTGGTAATAGGGCTGGGCGATACAGCTAAAAAATGTATCAGCGATATAATGTTTCATATCGCTCGGTATCGATAATTATTGACATTTTTTATAACCTTTTTTAAAACCAAACGCAATAAAAAAAGGTACAATTTAATCACTGTTTTTAATTAACCCAATTTGAGACAAACAAAAAAAAATTTTAACAGTCAAACGCAAAATAAAATGTAAACAAATATATCCTTTCTTATGTTTTCTACGCAGATTAAATAAGTCTTATGGAAACTTTTGGCTTGTCTCCCGAGGACACAGGAGTGCGCAATAAACTAAACAATGCAGTGTATTCAATTGTTAATGCAATTAAATAACTGTCCATAAAAAAACGTGCATAACGTCTAAATTAACTCCTATAAATCAAATATTTCGTAAATTGCATAAACAATTATGAACAAAACAGCATCATGTATTTATGCATTGCATAAATAAAAAAACAAAGAGCCGAATCGCCCATCACGCAGATTGCAGTTAAAAGACGCAGTGAAAAGGAATAAACCTCCACAAATTCGCTACGTGTTTTCTAAAAGTTTAAACCGTTTTAACTTTGCATGGCTTTCTATGCATCTCTTGTGTGAGACGTGAGTGCAGCAGTCGTAGTCGTACTAGAAAATGCGCTGAGTATGCGTTCTGTGTGAATGGCTTGGTTTGGGTTTTAACCTAATCAAGATCTTCACACTGAGCTTCTATATTGCTCTAATATTTTGAATGAATAACGCAGCAGCGGCGCGTCTCGTGGGCTAGACTAACAACACATTCAAATGCAACAACATCACTTACATCATCATCACCTCATCACGTGCTCCACTGATGACGCTCCCTGACGCACTCCTAACATTCGACTGTACCATTTTTGCATTCAAATGCAATTTGTTTTTATTTTAAATTCGACTAATATTCATTCTTTAGTCACAATCTCCTCATCACAGGCAGCACAGCACTCAACTCAGCATGTGTTCATGTTTGTGTGAGCTGTCTGCGTCACTCATAGCACGTGACTATATCGTGCGCTATATCGACCATTTTTTATATCGTTATCGATGGAGTACTGTCGATAAATATCAATACCGTTTTATTGCCCAGGCCTAAGTGGGAACCACGGAAATCTACAAATAGTTGAACTACGGTCACTTTAGTAAAGCCATGGTTGATTATTATAAGGGACTGCAGTGACAGGCTGTTGCATGCATAAAATACAGCCTTTTTATTCTGACAGCGTGTGATTTATGTTAACATTACAGAATAGAGCATGATCAATATTATCTTTAACGTTCAATTTAAATAAATGTAATTGCACACACTACGTAGGCTACAATTTCAGTTATTGTGAAATAACTCAAACATGCATATTGTTTTTCTGTCCTCTGATAAGCATTGTTCTGGGCTGCCGTTTCTAAAAACATCAATGCTTTCTTATGAAACGCAGCCCTGTTTGAATGCACTGTCTGTGTAGTTCATGCTGTATGTGACAGACTTGTTGATTAATAACCAGCTGCTTTTATGTAGACGGTAAAAATGTACTTACATCATTATTAGGACTGTAATATGAATACATTTTAAAAAATCTATTTAAGTATATGATGTGCCGATTAATTGATGAAATTAATGACAAATAATTTGCACACTTTTGGTTGAGAAAATACCCCAGAAGATCATTTTAAGTCATTATTGTGTTAGATGAGAAAAGCATTGAATAGACACTACAAAAAGTAGCTATAGAAAGAAATCATTTGATTCAACATTGAATTTATTACACATATATTTTTAAGGCTATAATGTGGCCTAATGTCGTTTTCAGAAGCGGCGTCTGAAGTGGCATTTAGGTACATTTACACAGACTGAATGCATTTATACTTCAATTAGAATGCTGTGAGATTAATGTGTTTTTGATGAATATTGCAATCGGACTTTTAAATGAAATTAAACTTTTTACACCCATTTAACTGCATTCTAATAGTCTCCATCACAGAGTCAGTCAGTGGTCCTGTTCATCAGTGTGAGATGATAAATGATATATATGTATATATCTGTCTTCTGTTTCAGCCTTAACCGCATACACATACCTCACCATCTTCGATCTCTTCAGGTAAGTGTCATCTGTTGGTCATTAAAAGCTTGTACAATTGTGTTTCTGTGTTTACCAGATACTGATACTCAAAGACTTTACTGCTTTCCTTTGATTCGCCTGTTACACCAGTGATACACAATCATTTTAGGCTTATAAAGACATTATATTAATGTGCCATTAACCATTAATGGGCTTAAGTGTGTTTACAATCGGCTAGATGCACAGTTGTGTTGCATTTCATTGTGTTTAAGCATCTGATGCTGGTGTCTTTGGCTCTCACAGTCTGATCACCTGTCTGCTGAGTTTCTGGGTCACCGTGAAGAAACCCAGTCAGGTGTACTCCTTTGGGTAAGAACGGTTCATACTTCAGATATCATTGTGCTTGTTTTCTCACCTCAAAGTGCTTCACACGTGCAGCACGGCATTGATAGTGACCATAGTGCACCAACCGTGAATCAAACAATGGTCTGTTGGTCAAACTTAATAAAAGTTTGACAACTTTAACACCATTACATAGATTCATCTGACCTCAAACTAGGACCAGTTTTAAAGTTGTATTACATTTTTGTTCCTGAAATCCTCTCTTCTGCTGGGATCAGAATAATCCCGTTTTCTGGGGATCAAAAGTATCCCAATCTTACTAAATGTTTTGAACAACACAAACTGAGGATTTAATTCAGATCAAAACCAAGATTGTATTTTGTGATCTAATCCGAATTCAGAATGCTTTTTTTTTTCTTTTGAACAACCCATTTTCACGATCCGATCCGATGGCCAGAATCTGATCAGATGACGTCTGAACGGCTGGCCCCAGGGCTTCAGTGATTAACCAGATGTGCCGGTTGTGTGTGTAATGCCAGGTGTTTGTGTTGATGTGTGTTTTGTGGCCTCAGCTTCGAGCGTTTGGAAGTGCTGGCGGTGTTCGCCTCCACTGTGCTGGTTCAGCTGGGCGCGCTCTTCATCCTGAAGGAAAGGTGAGATGCGTGTGTCTCTGCAGAACTCGATCCTGTCGATATTTCGCTGCTGTGACCCGACTGACTCGCGCTCACACTGGCCTGATCCACTCACACACAGATGAATGAGCTTGCTGGTGCTGGTTTGGTGGTTTCTCCTCACCGTAGTTTTTCAGGAAAGGCACTGGCATGATATTATTCAGCATAACCTCCCAGATTTGCTCCATCGTTACTGGATTGAGTACTTGTCTCTGTTTGTACTGGTGTGTGTGAGAGTGTGTGTGAGAGTGTGTGTGCTTGAGTGTGAGCTTGAGAGTGTGTGTGTGAGAGAGTGAGAGTTTGTGTGTGTGTGAGAAAGTGAGAGTGTGTGTGAGCTTGAGTGTGTGTGTGTGTGTGTGAGAAAGTGAGAGTGTGTGTGTGTGTGTGTGTGTGTTAGGCTTTCCGTGATAGATGTCGATTAACGGTGATACCGGTGTTAAGCCGCAACACCGGTTACGTCACTTGCCCACCACGGCACTGACCCCCACCATCGTTTAGATTTTTTATAGTAATAAAAATCATTTAGTTCAGTAAAAGAACAGACACTACAATTAAAAACTGAACGCGGCTGCTCAATGCAGCGTGCCGAACGACAGTCGCATCACAGATCAGATTTCATTTCTCCAGCGAGGAGAGCGAGTCGAGCTGACTGACGAGAAGAGTGAGGTGAGACAGACAAGACGATCGCGGATGATTTAGCTTTGAAAAGAAATTCAAAAGCGCCTGTTTGGCAATATTTAGGATTTTGAAAAGCATGTTGACTTTTGCCGTTTATCTAAGGTGATTTTGGAAATTTTTTTTTAACATTTGTTTCTTATTTAATTGGTTCCACATTGTTTGCTGATTTTTACTTTATTTAAACTTTGTGTCATTTATTTATTTTATTCGAACGACAGTCGCATCACAGATCAGCTTTAATTTCTCCAGCGCGGAGAGCGAGTCGAGCTGACTGACGAGAAGAGTGAGGCGAGACAGACAAGACGATCGCGGATGATTTAGTTTTGAAAAGAAATTCAAAAGCACCTGTTTGGCAATATTTAGGATTTTGAAAAGCATGTTGACTTTTGCCGTTTATCTAAGGTGATTTTGGAAGTTTCTTATTTAATTGGTTCCACATTGTTTGCTGATTTTTACTTTATTTAAACTGTCATTTATTTATTTTATTTTTTTACATCAAGGTGTATGCCGTGCCTCCAAGTTTTCTTACTCGTTTTGCTAATAAACGTTCTACGTTTCTTATTTATTTGGTTATACTGTATATCAGGGGTTCTCAAAGTCTATATTCAAAGGTCCAAATCTGAACTTTTATCAGTGTCAGAGGTCCGGACCGGAACAATTGGTTATTACAAAACTTGTTTTTAATAAACATACATAACATGCGTAACAAAAAAACTCTACTTTATCAGGCATTACAGGAAAGACGAAACGAAAATGACATTGTAGCTTTTCTGAAGACGGTCGGATCTTTTCAAAGATACATTCATATAAAAACACGCGCGCTGCATTTTAATTTTGAAACGCGCAGTGCTCCGTTTATTCAACAAAGTATAAGCCTTTTGGAAAATCTATTTACTCAATGTATGGAAAACACTGGACACTGCTATAAGTCAAATGGCCATAATCTAAGTGATTACAAAAATAAGTAAATAAAAAATTACTCATATTAGCGGTGAAATGTCGTCCGATTATGTCAAACGTCATATGCTCACTGGATGTCATGACAACAAATGTCACCAAGGAAAAGTTTCAATATCTCGCCTTCGCTTTCATTTCGGACCATCTCCAAAAAGACATCAAAAAACTAAACACAAGTTTAACATGCGGAAATAATTAGTGTTCTTGAAATATTAAATGGAGGTGGGTCCGGACCAGAGTCCGGACTTTGAGAAGCAGTGCTGTATATTATACATGTTTACTTAGCCTATTTCCAGTTTTGTATACCTATTTAAACTTTATGTAAGTTATTTTTTATTTTATATTAGGCATAGCCTGCCCTATAGCATGGTGTATTTTTATTTGTTTTGTTAATAAAAGTTCAATGTTTTATATATAGGCTAAAGCGAGTTTGACGTTGTATTTTGTTGTTGCATTCAAGCAATTTATGCCAAATTGCCGCTATTTGAAAGTGAAAGTAAAATGCGCACGCAGCTTTTACAAGCTATTTAGAAACGAAGGAAAGCGAGGAAAAGAGGGAACGCCCCCGCGGTGATACCGGTATTACCGGTGTTGTCACACGTCTATTAACTGGTGGGAAAATTTCCTCACCATCACAACCCTAATGTGAGAGTGTGAGAGTGTGTGTGAGAGAGAGAGTGAGAGTGTGTGTGAGAGAGCGAGAGAGAGAGGGTGTGTGTGAGAGAGAGAGCGAGAGAGTGTGTGTGTGAGAGAGAGAGCGAGAGAGTGTGTGTGTGAGAGAGAGAGCGAGAGAGTGTGTGTGTGAGAGAGAGAGCGAGAGAGTGTGTGTGTGAGAGAGAGAGCGAGAGAGTGTGTGTGTGAGAGAGAGAGCGAGAGAGTGTGTGTGTGAGAGAGAGAGCGAGAGAGTGTGTGTGTGAGAGAGAGAGCGAGAGAGTGTGTGTGTGAGAGAGAGAGCGAGAGAGTGTGTGTGTGAGAGAGAGAGCGAGAGAGTGTGTGTGTGAGAGAGAGAGCGAGAGAGTGTGTGTGTGAGAGAGAGAGCGAGAGAGTGTGTGTGTGAGAGAGAGAGCGAGAGAGTGTGTGTGTGAGAGAGAGAGCGAGAGAGTGTGTGTGTGAGAGAGAGAGCGAGAGAGTGTGTGTGTGAGAGAGAGAGCGAGAGAGTGTGTGTGTGAGAGAGAGAGCGAGAGAGTGTGTGTGTGAGAGAGAGAGCGAGAGAGTGTGTGTGTGAGAGAGAGAGCGAGAGAGTGTGTGTGTGAGAGAGAGAGCGAGAGAGTGTGTGTGTGAGAGAGAGAGCGAGAGAGTGTGTGTGTGAGAGAGAGAGCGAGAGAGTGTGTGTGTGAGAGAGAGAGCGAGAGAGTGTGTGTGTGAGAGAGAGAGCGAGAGAGTGTGTGTGTGAGAGAGAGAGCGAGAGAGTGTGTGTGTGAGAGAGAGAGCGAGAGAGTGTGTGTGTGAGAGAGAGAGCGAGAGAGTGTGTGTGTGAGAGAGAGAGCGAGAGAGTGTGTGTGTGAGAGAGAGAGCGAGAGAGTGTGTGTGTGAGAGAGAGAGCGAGAGAGTGTGTGTGTGAGAGAGAGAGCGAGAGAGTGTGTGTGTGAGAGAGAGAGCGAGAGAGTGTGTGTGTGAGAGAGAGAGCGAGAGAGTGTGTGTGTGAGAGAGAGAGCGAGAGAGTGTGTGTGTGAGAGAGAGAGCGAGAGAGTGTGTGTGTGAGAGAGAGAGCGAGAGAGTGTGTGTGTGAGAGAGAGAGCGAGAGAGTGTGTGTGTGAGAGAGAGAGCGAGAGAGTGTGTGTGTGAGAGAGAGAGCGAGAGAGTGTGTGTGTGAGAGAGAGAGCGAGAGAGTGTGTGTGTGAGAGAGAGAGCGAGAGAGTGTGTGTGTGAGAGAGAGAGCGAGAGAGTGTGTGTGTGAGAGAGAGAGCGAGAGAGTGTGTGTGTGAGAGAGAGAGCGAGAGAGTGTGTGTGTGAGAGAGAGAGCGAGAGAGTGTGTGTGTGAGAGAGAGAGCGAGAGAGTGTGTGTGTGAGAGAGAGAGCGAGAGAGTGTGTGTGTGAGAGAGAGAGCGAGAGAGTGTGTGTGTGAGAGAGAGAGCGAGAGAGTGTGTGTGTGAGAGAGAGAGCGAGAGAGTGTGTGTGTGAGAGAGAGAGCGAGAGAGTGTGTGTGTGAGAGAGAGAGCGAGAGAGTGTGTGTGTGAGAGAGAGAGCGAGAGAGTGTGTGTGTGAGAGAGAGAGCGAGAGAGTGTGTGTGTGAGAGAGAGAGCGAGAGAGTGTGTGTGTGAGAGAGAGAGCGAGAGAGTGTGTGTGTGAGAGAGAGAGCGAGAGAGTGTGTGTGTGAGAGAGAGAGCGAGAGAGTGTGTGTGTGAGAGAGAGAGCGAGAGAGTGTGTGTGTGAGAGAGAGAGCGAGAGAGTGTGTGTGTGAGAGAGAGAGCGAGAGAGTGTGTGTGTGAGAGAGAGAGCGAGAGAGTGTGTGTGTGAGAGAGAGAGCGAGAGAGTGTGTGTGTGAGAGAGAGAGCGAGAGAGTGTGTGTGTGAGAGAGAGAGCGAGAGAGTGTGTGTGTGAGAGAGAGAGCGAGAGAGTGTGTGTGTGAGAGAGAGAGCGAGAGAGTGTGTGTGTGAGAGAGAGAGCGAGAGAGTGTGTGTGTGAGAGAGAGAGCGAGAGAGTGTGTGTGTGAGAGAGAGAGCGAGAGAGTGTGTGTGTGAGAGAGAGAGCGAGAGAGTGTGTGTGTGAGAGAGAGAGCGAGAGAGTGTGTGTGTGAGAGAGAGAGCGAGAGAGTGTGTGTGTGAGAGAGAGAGCGAGAGAGTGTGTGTGTGAGAGAGAGAGCGAGAGAGTGTGTGTGTGAGAGAGAGAGCGAGAGAGTGTGTGTGTGAGAGAGAGAGCGAGAGAGTGTGTGTGTGAGAGAGAGAGCGAGAGAGTGTGTGTGTGAGAGAGAGAGCGAGAGAGTGTGTGTGTGAGAGAGAGAGCGAGAGAGTGTGTGTGTGAGAGAGAGAGCGAGAGAGTGTGTGTGTGAGAGAGAGAGCGAGAGAGTGTGTGTGTGAGAGAGAGAGCGAGAGAGTGTGTGTGTGAGAGAGAGAGCGAGAGAGTGTGTGTGTGAGAGAGAGAGCGAGAGAGTGTGTGTGTGAGAGAGAGAGCGAGAGAGTGTGTGTGTGAGAGAGAGAGCGAGAGAGTGTGTGTGTGAGAGAGAGAGCGAGAGAGTGTGTGTGTGAGAGAGAGAGCGAGAGAGTGTGTGTGTGAGAGAGAGAGCGAGAGAGTGTGTGTGTGAGAGAGAGAGCGAGAGAGTGTGTGTGTGAGAGAGAGAGCGAGAGAGTGTGTGTGTGAGAGAGAGAGCGAGAGAGTGTGTGTGTGAGAGAGAGAGCGAGAGAGTGTGTGTGTGAGAGAGAGAGCGAGAGAGTGTGTGTGTGAGAGAGAGAGCGAGAGAGTGTGTGTGTGAGAGAGAGAGCGAGAGAGTGTGTGTGTGAGAGAGAGAGCGAGAGAGTGTGTGTGTGAGAGAGAGAGCGAGAGAGTGTGTGTGTGAGAGAGAGAGCGAGAGAGTGTGTGTGTGAGAGAGAGAGCGAGAGAGTGTGTGTGTGAGAGAGAGAGCGAGAGAGTGTGTGTGTGAGAGAGAGAGCGAGAGAGTGTGTGTGTGAGAGAGAGAGCGAGAGAGTGTGTGTGTGAGAGAGAGAGCGAGAGAGTGTGTGTGTGAGAGAGAGAGCGAGAGAGTGTGTGTGTGAGAGAGAGAGCGAGAGAGTGTGTGTGTGAGAGAGAGAGCGAGAGAGTGTGTGTGTGAGAGAGAGAGCGAGAGAGTGTGTGTGTGAGAGAGAGAGCGAGAGAGTGTGTGTGTGAGAGAGAGAGCGAGAGAGTGTGTGTGTGAGAGAGAGAGCGAGAGAGTGTGTGTGTGAGAGAGAGAGCGAGAGAGTGTGTGTGTGAGAGAGAGAGCGAGAGAGTGTGTGTGTGAGAGAGAGAGCGAGAGAGTGTGTGTGTGAGAGAGAGAGCGAGAGAGTGTGTGTGTGAGAGAGAGAGCGAGAGAGTGTGTGTGTGAGAGAGAGAGCGAGAGAGTGTGTGTGTGAGAGAGAGAGCGAGAGAGTGTGTGTGTGAGAGAGAGAGCGAGAGAGTGTGTGTGTGAGAGAGAGAGCGAGAGAGTGTGTGTGTGAGAGAGAGAGCGAGAGAGTGTGTGTGTGAGAGAGAGAGCGAGAGAGTGTGTGTGTGAGAGAGAGAGCGAGAGAGTGTGTGTGTGAGAGAGAGAGCGAGAGAGTGTGTGTGTGAGAGAGAGAGCGAGAGAGTGTGTGTGTGAGAGAGAGAGCGAGAGAGTGTGTGTGTGAGAGAGAGAGCGAGAGAGTGTGTGTGTGAGAGAGAGAGCGAGAGAGTGTGTGTGTGAGAGAGAGAGCGAGAGAGTGTGTGTGTGAGAGAGAGAGCGAGAGAGTGTGTGTGTGAGAGAGAGAGCGAGAGAGTGTGTGTGTGAGAGAGAGAGCGAGAGAGTGTGTGTGTGAGAGAGAGAGCGAGAGAGTGTGTGTGTGAGAGAGAGAGCGAGAGAGTGTGTGTGTGAGAGAGAGAGCGAGAGAGTGTGTGTGTGAGAGAGAGAGCGAGAGAGTGTGTGTGTGAGAGAGAGAGCGAGAGAGTGTGTGTGTGAGAGAGAGAGCGAGAGAGTGTGTGTGTGAGAGAGAGAGCGAGAGAGTGTGTGTGTGAGAGAGAGAGCGAGAGAGTGTGTGTGTGAGAGAGAGAGCGAGAGAGTGTGTGTGTGAGAGAGAGAGCGAGAGAGTGTGTGTGTGAGAGAGAGAGCGAGAGAGTGTGTGTGTGAGAGAGAGAGCGAGAGAGTGTGTGTGTGAGAGAGAGAGCGAGAGAGTGTGTGTGTGAGAGAGAGAGCGAGAGAGTGTGTGTGTGAGAGAGAGAGCGAGAGAGTGTGTGTGTGAGAGAGAGAGCGAGAGAGTGTGTGTGTGAGAGAGAGAGCGAGAGAGTGTGTGTGTGAGAGAGAGAGCGAGAGAGTGTGTGTGTGAGAGTGAGTGAGTGTGTGTGAGTGTGTGCTAACTGTGTGCTTCCTCCTTCCTCAGTGTGGAGCGTTTCGTAGAGCAGCCCGAGGTGCACACGTGAGTACAACAGTCACTGACCTGATCCTCACACAAACCTTTCGGCATCTTTATATGTTCATTAACATTAATGAGTTTTTCTTTTCACCATTCACACACACACACGAGACTGAAAACATGACCAATGATAAAATAGTACTGCATAAGTCCTGTATAAAAAGTGGATTGGCAATGGGATTCACTTGCGATGTACATTTTGGTCAGCTTAAACATACGCCCATTTCTTTTGCGGAACAAGTTTGCCCAGTCTTTTATCACTATGTCAAAAGCATAACATTAGAGAGAACTCCAAATTAGTGGAACTTCATTAAAGATGAATGGCACGCCTTCACTGAAGCTCATACCCGCTTCTGGTTTGGTCGTAAGCATTGAAGTACAATCATGCCCAGATCAAAAGAGCTGACAGCTAGTGGTTTAAACGCAGTCCAAATTCAAAATATCTCTTTCAAGTGTACAGATCTGAGCGCTGTGTGTGGTTGTTTCTGTGCTTGTTTTAGGGGGCGTCTGCTGGTGGGAACTTCTGTGGCTCTGTTCTTTAACCTCTTGACTCTACTCTCCGTCAAGAACAAGCCCTTCGTCTTCGTGTCTGAAGGTAAGGTCTTTTCCACAGACTGCCGTTTCTAAGTGTGGCCGGACTAAAAGTAAAATAAAGATACTTTTGAATTTTAACTTCTTAAGGCAGCCTTTATTTTTGAACACTCGTTAGCTGCTGTTAGTGCAGTACAGACGACTGATCCATGTCTCTCTGTGTGTGTGTGTGTGTGTGTGTGTGTGTGTGTGTGTGTGTGTGTTTGTGTGTGTGTAGCCGCGAGCACCAGCTGGCTTCAGGAGCACGTGGCCGATCTGAGCCGGAGGTAGCGCACTCTTCTCACTCCATGATGTACGCGGAGTTATTCACTGCAGATGATGCATAGTGTGTGAATGTTTGTGTGCAGTCTGTGTGGACTCATCCCGGCGCTCCGCAGCCTTCTCCTGCCCAGAATGAACCCGTTTGTGCTGATCAACCTCGCTGGAGCTTGTGCTCTGGGCATCACGTACATGCTCATCGAATTCAAGTGAGGAGACCGCACTGTCTTATACATGACGTCACAAATGCTTCACAAACAACACTTCTATTGCTGTAACTGTACATCTCTACCACAACTGTGCATATACGTATGTGACCCTGGAGCACAAAACAGTCATAAGGGTTCCTTTTCATCATCTGAACGCTGAATAAATAATCTTTCCATTGATGTACAATATTTTAAAATCTGGAATCTGAGGCATACAAGAAAAATCTAAAACTTTGACCCATACAATGTGTTGTTGGCTATTGCTGCAAATATACCAGTGCTACGTATGACTGCTTTTGTGCTGCAGGGTCACATATTATTACTTTTACTGCTAAATCTCATTGAATGCCTTTCTCAGTCTTGAGCCGTATTCGGCGGTAATTGTTTCTCAGGGGGACGTCAGTTATTTTCAGCATTTACGAGGGGTAATCTGTGATTTTACTGCCATCCGAATCCAGGATGTAGGTGTTTATCTCTCACCACCTGCGTAAGAATCCCCGGCCGAATCACCTACGGTTTTCTGACAAACACTAAGGTTGTGTGGCAATTGAATTGCCGTCTGAATCCACATCTCTTGAGTTTACGAGAAGAAATCGATTCAAAATTATAAAATTTTCAAAATTATGCAAATACTTTTTGACCACTGCCAAACACCGTACTTTTGTACTTCGCTGTAATCTGCATGCATATTTATTTCTGAAATGCTGGAAAGTATTCACAAGAACAATATTTCATAACTGCTCCACCACTGCGACTGGGAGCAGAAAGAGAAGAAAAACAAGTAAACATTAAAAATATGGGTCTTTATTATGGCAGCAGCAGGCATTCGATACAATTTAAAAATGTGTATTATATAAAGTTATATACATAACTATTTTGCATATAATTATATACAACTATAGTGTGTCTATTTTCCTATTTGTAAACTGGAGATTTAAATAATCATATGTGAGCCTGCAGCACAAAAGCAGTGTTAAGTCGCTGGGGGATATTTGTAGCAATAGCCAACAATACATTGTATGGGTCACAATTATACATTTCTCTTTTATGCCAAAAATCATTAGGATATTAAGTAAAGATCATGTTCCATGAAGATATTTTGTAAATGTCCTACCGTAAATATATCAAAACTTAATTTTTGATTAGTAATATGCATTGCTAAGAACTTCATTTGAACAACTTTAAAGATGATTTTCTCAATATTTAGATTTTTTTGCACCCTCAGATTCCAGATTTTCAAATATTGTCCGATCCTAACAAACCATACATCAATGGAAAGATTATTCATTCAGCTTTCAGATCATGTATAAATCTCAATTTCAAAAAATTGACCCTCATGACTGGTTTTGTGCTCCAGGGTCACAAATAATAAATAGGATTATATATTATAAAATATGCTTGGAATAAATCACCATCCGAATCCATGAGTTTTATCACTGAGGTGCCATGTACATTTATTTTTACAGACGTCCACATGCGAAACGATTACCGTCCGCATCGGGCTTTAGCCTGCAGTTCCACATTAGCGCCTGTATGAGGTTGCTAGCTCACGGTGCTAGCGGAGAGGCTCATTGGTGTGTGCTCTGAAGCTGAGATGATGTCACTGAGTCACATGTTGTTGTTTTGCAGTAACTATAATGCGATGGACACCGCGTCTGCTGTGGTCATCGCCCTCATGACCTTCGGCACCATGTACCCCATGAGCGTGTACAGCGGGAAGGTGCTGCTGCAGGTGTGTTTCAGTGTGCCATGCTGTGATTAATCCTGTGTCATATGTACGGATGAAACGATATCACGATTCAGTATTATTACGATATGACGTCTACGATACGATTTATCGTGATATTTAAAAAGGAAGAAAAAAAGACATGAAGAATTGGAAAAAATTAAAATTTTGTATATTTTAAAAAGTTAAATTATTCTATCTAATGCACTTTGAGTTCAAAATTAAGATCTGAAACCCATGTTCTTAACTAAGAAAGCTGAACTCCAGCCTCTTTTTATTTGTGATCTACTGTCTCAGTCTAAGTCACATTCACACTGGAGTTTGAGGAAGCCAAACTAATTAGAATATAATAATAATAACACCAACAATTACAGTAGTAGCCATATGTTGTAAAACAATTGCACTGTAAAATAAAGCATAGGCATATATGTAGGCATATTATGTGTGCTTTACGCTACAGCAGGGCAATGACAATACTTCTTTGATTTCTACACTTGAAAGAGATCTGTTGAATCTGGACTGCGTTTAAACCGCGAGCTGTCTGCAATTCATGCTGCACTTTAAAGCTTTTATTTTGACGTTAAACTCCAGCTTCAGTGAAAACAGGCTTACAAAAACACGTCTGACTACAAATCTAGAGAAACGCTGTAATCATCTGCCGCTCAAATAAAGCATAACTGTTGTTCCCAAACGCGCGCTGAACTCACAGAAGATTAAATAAAGGAGTGGACTGCATTCATTCAGTGTGAACGAGTCGTTCTGAGACGCAGACAACACCGGATCACGAGCTGATCGTCTGAACCAAGTGTGTGCTTCGCTTTGAAACACAGCGCAAACAGACTTGATGAAGCATATTGTGCTTTCGGTTCGAGTTCTTTTGACAGATACTGGGCCAAAGCATAATGCCCCAAAACAAGTATATTTTAAAAACAAAAATTTCTGCCCGGAAGACCTATCATTTCATATCGTCATGTGACCACGATAATATCGAGACAGTTTTGCTATCGTGATATTGATAATACCATTCCATCCCTAGTCACATGTGTGGTCAGATGATCTGGAACTGTCCAATCACAGCTGTTCTCTCTTTCCCGCAGACCACCCCCTCTCATGTCATTGGTCAGCTTGACAAACTGCTCCGAGAGGTCAGTTCATATTCACTTATCACTGCCCACATAATCTATCCGATGTATTTCTGAATATCTGCGGCGCAAGCGTGTTTTCGTGCCGCCACTTCTCTCGTTTTTATTTGGCAAGCTCTTCAACAGATTGGTTCTTGGTGTTTTTCAGGTGTCCACATTGGATGGAGTTCTTGAAGTCAGAAATGAACACTTCTGGACCATTGGCTTTGGCTCTCTGGTGTGTAGATATTCTTTGCTGTATTTGTAGCACACATGTACTGTTAAAGAATGCTGGAATGATGTTGCCTGACACAGGTTTTGGGTTTGTTTTTTTTCATGAAGATATTGTAAAAGTAATCAATATGAATCAAGCCGTTCCAAGTCTTGTGAACAGACGTGATCGCTTTTTATCATCTTTGCATTATTGACACACTATTTTCCTGTTTGATGCTGTAAAGCTGCTTTGACACAATCTGTATTGTTAAAAGCGCTGTATTATGTCCCTGGACCACAAAACCAGTCATAAGAGTCAAAATTGAGATTTGATGTATGGTTTGTTAGGATAGGACAGTATTTGAAAATCTGGAATCTGAGGGAGCAAAAAAATCTAAATATTGAGAAAATCATCTTTAAAGTTGTCCAAATTAAGCTCTTAGCAATGCATATTACTAATCAAAAATTAAGTTTTGATATTTTTACGGTAGGAAATTTACAAAATATCTTCATGGAACATGATCTTTACTTAATATCCTAATGATTTTTGGCATAAAATAAAAATGGATAATTGTGACCCATACAATGTATTTTTGGCTATTGCTACAAATATACCCCAGAGACTTAAGACTGCTTTTGTGCTCCAGGCTCACATATGAGAGGCCTGATCTCTCAACTCTTCAGTAAAAATGCTCACACGAGGCTTCAGATTGGAGACCTTAACTCGCTGTGTTTTTACGCAGGCCGGCTCCGTTCACGTCCGCATTCGCAGAGATGCTGACGAGCAGATGGTTTTGGCCCGTGTGACCAACCGGCTACACACACTAGTGTCCACTCTGACCGTTCAGATCTTGAAAGACGACTGGGCCCGTCACTCGCTGACCTCCAGCACCCTGCCCACCGGCTCGCTCAGCCTCTCGGAGTACGTGACTTCGGCAGCCTTCCCTCCAGCGGGGTCCAAACCGCTCGAGGAGTCGAACCTGGTCACGTCTACGCCTGCGAAGCCCAGCAGCCCTCCTTCAGAGTTCTCCTTCAACACGCCGGGGAAGCACATCCAGCCCGTGGTGTTTCAGCACAGGCCCTTCAACACGCAGCTCTCCTATGGGATGTCTCCCTACTCCAGCATGCTGAACCAGGGCTTTGCGCACCCCAGCGGCGGCCCTGCGACGAGGCTGGGCTTCGGGGCTCAAGGATACAGGACTCTGAATGCAGCGCCGCACAGATACGGCAGCGGTCTGCCCGCGTCACAAACTGGCCAACAGAGACCGTGAGCTGATCACAGCATCATCTCGCCACTAGCCCACCACTACCCTGAGTATTTATTTGAATGGGACCAAGAGCAACAGCTTTATTTTCAATGGATGTTTTATCTGTATTCTTTATTTGTATTAAACCACTATCAGACATCTGTGAAGTCGCGTTATTTTTTTACAGACCCTGCATCCCAATGTTCATACTCCCCATCCTAAATAGTATGTGAGATTAGAATAAGTGTGTCCCAAAGCATAGTATGTTGACAAGAGTATGCTTAAAGTCCTTGGACGGTCTAGGGCTGCCCTCGACTAAAAATGTGTCTGGTCGACTAGTAGTCATTCATTTGAAGCATTATGAGACTAATCACATGTTTATTAATAAACAATTGAAATCATAATAATGAGCCTTTAATTGCATACATAGCCTAATAAGCGTTTAAGCAAACGACATTTTAATCATTCATTGATAAACTAGTGCTTTCTTTGTTTTCAGTTTAAGAGATCGGCGACACTGACTTGTCTCCACAGTAGTGGATGCGCCTGAATATTTTGTCTTCCATTTGAATTGGTTTATTTGAAAGTAGACATTTAGCTATCTATAGATATAGGCCTATGTAGATATATTTTTCATGTCTGAAAGGCAATAGAGGAGGTTCAGAGTTTCGTGCTCAGGTTCACAGAGACCGAGACGGCAGAAAGCACATCTGGTTTGCTTTCATTATTTTGCGAAAGCGAAGTGTTTTGTTGTTATTGTGAGTGCACACAAATAAACACAGAGTCTTTACAGATTCGAAAGATGTATTACTCTTATCTGTATGAGCACAAATGAGGGAGTATTTTAAGAGCAAGTGAGCGCACTGGCGCCTCCATCTATTTTTTGAAGTATGGATCCGTGCACACTCTAATGGCTAATATTGCCCACAATCCATTGCGCTTTGGCGAATGATTCAGTCCAGAACTACAAACACGAATAAAACACGTAAAAAAAAAACTACAAACATTGAGGATGTGCATGACCGATGGTTAGGTAGAGAGGTTTAGAAAAGGGTTTGAGTTACTAATAATAAACATTTATTTAATGGAATCTGTGTTATATTTATTCTGCAACAGCAATGTGAACTTTTATAAACATCCGTTTGATTGTTAACTTTTAAATGCATTATGCATAAAATATTAGCAGAGTTGTCGGTAGGAAGTTAAATTAAATGTGGAGGATGTTAATGTGACAGGATGATTGACAGGCCAGTTTACAGTGACAGGGTGCGTGTAACTATGCGACAGAGTAAAGATGCAGTTGTGTGACGTGATGGTATGTCCCAAAGCTTGCCTACTCTATAAAGGCACACTCAAAAGTGTTTACTTTTTCTTCACCAAAAGCACAGAGTCTTTACAGATTCGAAAGATGTATTACTCTTATCTGTATGAGCACAAATGAGGGAGTATTTTAAGAGCAAGTGAGCGCACTGGCGCCTCCATCTATTTTTTGAAGTATGGATCCGTGCACACTCTAATGGCTAATATTGCCCACAATCCATTGCGCTTTGGCGAATGATTCAGTCCAGAACTACAAACACGAATAAAACACGTAAAAAAAAAACTACAAACATTGAGGATGTGCATGACCGATGGTTAGGTAGAGAGGTTTAGAAAAGGGTTTGAGTTACTAATAATAAACATTTATTTAATGGAATCTGTGTTATATTTATTCTGCAACAGCAATGTGAACTTTTATAAACATCCGTTTGATTGTTAACTTTTAAATGCATTATGCATAAAATATTAGCAGAGTTGTCGGTAGGAAGTTAAATTAAATGTGGAGGATGTTAATGTGACAGGATGATTGACAGGCCAGTTTACAGTGACAGGGTGCGTGTAACTATGCGACAGAGTAAAGATGCAGTTGTGTGACGTGATGGTATGTCCCAAAGCTTGCCTACTCTATAAAGGCACACTCAAAAGTGTTTACTTTTTCTTCACCAAAAGAGTAAATGCTTTAAGGGCGTAGTACAAGTTGTCACATTGGGACCCAGCAGATGTCTTCATTATGAAGATAGATCACTTAAGGCTGTTCACACCAAGAATAATAACTATAATAACTATTTTAGCATCCACACCAACAGACCATAAAGTTATGTTCAGCTCGGTACAGGAGGAACTGCACTGTTTCTCAGTTCTGAATAGTGTGCTGTCTGGTACAGTGCTGCAACAGTAAGGATTGTAAAGTATGTCCTTTAAAACAATCTGTTAAGATAATTACATTGGGTTACATATTGAATTGATTTCAGATACATTTTGAATTACTTTCAGTTGCATTTTAAATTGTTACATTGTAAATTAAACTATTTAAAATAAATTATGAAGAATTAATAGTCTATATAATGTTACAAACATGCCAATACACTGTAAAGAGTTCAGTAATATTTCAAAGGATGTCCCTATCCCTCTTAACCATTTCTGATCTTGTTTGCTTTTTACTGTACAGCGTCATCATGTTTGTGTTAGGGATCCCTGGAAAACTGCTATATTATATCAGTTATAACAATGAACTACCAGAAACTGTCATGGTAATGAAATACTGTAAGACTTGGCATTACTTTAAAGTCCTGGCAGATCGCAGGCCGGATTTTTGCAGAAAAAAAAGGGTTCAGTGAATCTGAAAATGCGCGCACAGAAATAACATCTACATATAATGACTTTCAACTTGGGGACCTTGATATAAATGTAGCGGAGTAAAAAGTACAATATTTGTCTTTCAAATGTTGTGAAGTTGAAGTAGCAAGTTTCCAGAAATAAATAATACTCAAGTAAAGTACAGATACTCAAAAAGTTTACTTAAGTACAGTACTCAAGTAAATGTACTTAGTTACCTGTCCACCTCTGGCCCATGCCAAAAGAGTTGAAAAGAATAGTTTTTAGTGAGGAAAAGAAGGATTCAGTTCTGTCGTTACTGGAAGAGGGATACAGTGAGCGTCAGATTACTTCCAACCTTAAAATTTAAAAGACAGCAGTTCAAAGGTCAAGCTGCAGACATTAGGGACAACAAAGCTACAGACAGGCAGAGGGTGAAAACGACTCTCCACTGACCGGGATGACCACCAACTCATTCGAATGTCACTCAACAACTGTAGGATGACATCAAGTGAGTTACAAACGTAATGGCAAACGGCAGCTGGGGTGAAGTGCACAGCGAGGACGATTTTAAACAGGCCTCTAGGGGCCGGGCTGAAGTCGTGCAAATATAGAAAAAAAGCCCTTCATCAATGAGAAGCAAAGAGCCAGGCTGAGGTTTGCAAAACACCATAAGGATTGAACCGTAGAGGACTGGAGTAAGATCTTCTCTGATGAGTCCAGTTTTCAGATTTGCCCAATGCCTGCTCATCTGATGGCTAGACGGAGACCTGGAGTGGCTTACAAGCCACAGTTTCTTGCGCACCCTGTGAAATTTGGTGGAGGATTGGTGATGATCTGGGGGAGCTACAGCAAGCCTGGAATCAGGCACATTCGTCTTTGTGAAGGACGCATGAATCAAGCCACGTTCAAGGTTGTCCTGGAAGAAAACCTACTTCCTTCTGCTCTGACAATGTTCCGCAAATAGTTTTTTCCCCCACTAGGACAATTCTCCATGCCACACAGCCATGTCAATCAAGGTGTGGATGGAGGAGCACTAGATCAAGACCCTGTCATGGCGAGTCCTGGCCTGATCAGCCACACCTGAACCCCACTGAAAACCTCTGGAATGTGATCAAGAGGAAGATGGATGGTCACAATTGAATTTTTGAATTGAATTTTTTGAACACATGAAAGCTGTGATTGAAAATCAGGGTTATTCCACCAAATATTGATTTCTGAACTATTCCTAAGCTAAAACATTAGTATTGTGTTATTTAAAAAAAAATTCTTTGCATGATTTGAGGCCTAAAAACATTGCATCTTTTTTGTTATTTTGACCAGTTATCATTTTCTGCAAATAAATGCTCTAAATGACAATATGGTTATTTGAAATTTGTCAGTAGTTTATAGAATAAAACAAAAATGTTAATTTTACTCAATCACATACCTACGTATAAATAGTAAAACCAAAATCTCAATCAAAATCTTTTTGGATACGTGACAAAATAGATGGCTGTCAGCTTGTCAAAACCTGAGCAGTCTGACCTGAGGCTGTGGGAATAAGCTTTTCGTTCTTCTCTAGATCAGAAAGGCTGCACAAAGGCTCCGAGCACAGGAATGGAAACAGGAGTCATCAGGCAGTTAGTACATCACTCCTCACCCTACAGTACTTATACTAACTTACTACAGTACTAACAATTTTTGATCAGACTGCAGATTCCTAAGAGTCTCTGAATGACACTCCTCATATTCAAACCACCAGAGATGGAGTCCACCTGAATCAGTTGGAGAGTACCATGCTATTCAGGTATATCTTCAGTAGTGCACATCCAGGGAAGGTCAGAAACGGCGCGGGTACATGGATTATTTTGGATGATGTGTGGCCAAGACAAAAGAGCTCTCACAAATGCCAAGAAAATTGTTTTAATTCACCAAGAAGGCTATGGCTTCAAGAACATTTTCTAGAAGTTCCTAGAGACACAGTTGGCAGAATCATTTGTAAGTTTAAAATGTATGGTACCACAGAAACTCTTCCAGAGCAAAAAAAAATCATAAAGGCAAGTAAGATGTTTTGATCAACAAAGCAGATTTCATTACATCTATTTCTAGTCATTCAAGACTAAACCTCATGGCCCTGACAGAGACGTGGATCAAACCAGAGGACAATGCTACAGCTGCAGCACTCTCCAATAATTTCTCTTTTTCCCACTCCCCCCGTCTGACTGGAAGAGGCGGAGGTACTGGTCTGCTTATCTCTAATGATTGGAAATGTATTCCTTTACCTTCTCTGGGTATAAACAGCTCATTTGAATCGCATTCAGTCATTATTACCCACCCTTTTAAAATCTATTTTGTAGTTGTTTTTTGACCCCCAGGACCACTAGTTAGCTTCTTGGATGAATTAGATGTGCTTCTCTCAACCTTTCCTGGGTGAGCGTGATTTGACCAAGTATAACATGTTCCTGGATCAACATCCTTGTTGATCCTGGAACATCATTCCAATCAACCAATCAGAATTGAGAGATAACTTTTCAGGAAATGTC